AGCATGGAGACCTGGTCCACCTACTGGCAAAACCCCAGAGGCAGTGAGGTCAGATGAGCTGTGTGGTTTTCTCATTCACCTATCATCCCCACAGATGTTATTAATTGCATTTCACTTTTAATAATTTCTTCCAAGGCAAGAAGGTGTGCAGACATTCAGCTTATCCTGGGCAGAAGCCTCTAGTGGCCCTACACCCTCCTGTGGATGTGGTTCTGGTAGCTGGCTTCCCTGGTGTGTGGCAATGCCCAAGCTTGCACAAGCCAGGCTGAGCACCCAGTTGCCACACTCATAACTAACCTCCCTCCTGCTCATGGGCTTCCAGCACAGGGAGAAGGGGACACTCACACCCTGGCTCTCTTCTGTTCCTCACCCACGTTTTAGCAATGCAGTTCTTTCAGGACATCCACTGCTGCATTGGATCCGCCAGCYTGACTGACAGGGTCAGAAGTCGTGGGGGCAGGACAGATACACACATGCACATGCAGATCATRACGGATGCTTCATTTCCTTATAAAAGCAGGAGAAAAGCAGAAGTTTTCCTGGCAATTCAGTAGACATGAAAAATGCATTCATAGCATTACCAGCATGGTTTTCAAGTTGCTGTTAAAATTCCAGTTACATTATGCTACCTCCAACCTCAGAGCCTTCTGTGTTTTGGAGCAATACATTAGTGTCTTTTAGCAGCTGCCTGCCAAGGGGAAATGAAGGTTTTGACATCTGACCTGTAAGGAAGGATGTGTGGCATTTGGAGCTATCCAAATAAGGATTTTAGCTGGATGCTAAAACAAGCTGTGTTTTTAACAGGTAACTATTTTGACACTGTTTTTGAACTTATGGGAGTTCAAAGTGGAGTCCCTGGTCAGGTGAGTAAGGCAACCCCAGTCCTCCAAGTTCAAGTTTGCTTGGAGCCACATTCTTTGCATAGCTCTCCCTTTGGAAAAGTTRCTTAGCACTGGCATGGACTAAAAAAGTACATTTGTTTTAATAAATATGTGAGATTTCAAAGCAGGACTCATTGGCTAATAGTGGGTTCTGAGACATATCCCACCAAATTAGTTCAGGTATCTGAACAAAGAAATAATACTCCAAACACAGTTATACTGCACTGGCAAAGGGAAAAAATTCTCTTAATTGGTCAGCTTTGAACAGTGGCTCAAGAACCTTTTTTTCAGAGTGGAACAAGTTTTATTCCTGGGATCTTGTCTCTATTAGGAGAAAATATGTTCCTCAGCTATTCTCATAGCTTGGGCAAGACAAACTAGGACATTTGCTGACATCATTAAGATCTGCCCAGCTCCACCTTTTAGCATAAGTTCCCACCTCGGAGCAGCACTTGACACCCTGCTGGGCACCCTGCTGCACCTTGAGCCAGTTCAGCACAATGATCTGACACTTGTTTTGTGGGGCTGGCTTGCTGCAGCACAAGCTCCTAAAGCAGCCTACTCTGACATAAGGTGGGAGCTGAACCCAGCAGAAGGAAGGGGAAAGGACACAGGAGCTGAGAGCTGGACATCATCACACAAGCCCCCAATTCCAGTTCATCACGGCTAAAACACAAAGCTGCATCACCACCCTTTGGCTGAGATTGGAAGGGTTGAAAGACCACAGTGGTACCTAAAATGCCTCTCAAATCGCATTGTGTCTACAAGACCTATATGGCCTGTTTGAATAGAAGATGGATAAAGGGACTGGGCCTTCTTCTGCCAGGACACAGACTAACAGAATGAAAAGAATCCCTCACTCTGCTCCCTGTGTCCTGGAGGACCTTGGGCATATCATTTACTCCATCTGCTAAACAGCGTGATAATCTCGCTGAGGAGTTGAGAGAGTAAACACACTCCAGACCAACATGAGCTCAGCAAGCTCTGCACACACAGAAACAACCCTCTGTCCCCAGGTCAGGCAGTTCCAGTCAGCAGTATGGAGATTTGTTACACCATGACCTGAAACAAACTGCCAAAGAGGCACCAAAACTACCTGAAAGGCYCTGATCCCTGGACATGCTGAGCCTCTACCGCGCTACCACCACTGGTGAGAGCTGATGCACTCACCTCCCCAGGGATGGTASAAGTTCTCAGACTGATTTCCACAGACTGCTGCTGTTTTGTTCCAACATTCCCAACATCTCCAAAATACCCAAAGCCTCTTGTGCAATGAGCAACATCCCCTGCTTCTTAGCTACATGGTCGTTTATGTTACTTTCCGCCTACAACCATTTCAGGATTGGCTTTACAGACCTTAGTGGAAGACTAAACAATGTTGGAGCCATAGCAGGAGAATTTGCAGAGTTTTATTCCTTGTTTCATTTGGGCAATCTTTCTGCCTCTCATCAGGGACAAAAAAACTTGCCAACCTCTTAATTTAGGAATAGCACGAGCTCTGCATTCCAGTCCTGAATCAGCCAAAGGAGCCTTTTCAAGCTGGAAAAGGGAAAAAGGATAAATACCTTTAAGCACATTTAAAAAGGAAAAAAAAAAAAAAAGCACACCACAAAACCAACCACACCAAAAAAACCTCAACACCTGCTTTTTGCAGGCAAAAACTTGCTCTTGGGGCACTCTTGAAACTGGCTTAACCATCAGCATTTGAAAGCAAATTCCAGTCCCTGCTCTTTTGGGTGCCAGAGTGCTTTCCCTGTCACTGCTTAAAACGAAAAGCAAACCCAGCTCCCTCATATATGTTTAGCAAGCACAGTGCAGATGGGATCAAAGATGAGAGTCTGAAGAGTAGCAAATGAAGCTGGCAGATTCGGGTTTTGTTTTTGTTGTGGGTTCGGTTGTTTTGGTTTGGTTGAGATTTTTTTTTCCTAATGGCTACAACAACCTGTTAAAAGTTTTGTAATCTGAAGAGTGCAAACCCTTTTCTGGATGTCCAYGCTCCTCTGCCAAGACATGCTCAACTGTGAATATTCCAGCTGCATGTTTCACATCACGCTGGTTAAGGATGTGCCAGTATTTTTATTATTCACCCCCTATGGATATTACAGAGCACCAGATATAGTTTTCTTAAACTGTGCTATTTATGTCTGTGTGTCTTACACACAAGAGATACAGTCAAATAAATCACACTCATTTAAAGGAATAAAGATAATAAAAGTAAGCAAAATACTGAGTGAAGTTAACATAATTCTGATTAAAGTCCATGAAACAAAAAAAAAAGCACTAACTCAGAAAATCACCTCTCAGCCCATCACTACAATGCCCTCCACCCAGCCCAACTTTTTGTAAAAGCATAAGCCTGGAAATGAACACCAAATTCCTTAAATCTAAATAMCCTTGGCTTCTCCTGGAGAGTGCAAAATTCATTCCCTTGACATTCATATTCTGTAGTCACAGAAGATTTCACACTGATGTGTTCTCCAGAGTCTCAGCTCTCCAGAGCCCTTCACAGCTGGGCAAAGAAGCAGGGACAGGAGAGAGGATGGGAGTGGGGACAACAGCAGTCGTAAGCATGGCTGAGTGAAGCAGCAGCTTGAAATGTACAAAGTTCTCCCTGCTGCTGTTTTTTCTTCWCTCCTCTCTCTCCATCTCTCTTCATCAAGCGGGGCAGCGTGCACAGGTACCTGGAGAAGCATGCACAGGTACCTGGCTGCATTCCCATACTCACGGAGAAGGAAGCCAAGAGATATAGCCCGGTTCAGACTGCTTTTAAATAAAGCCTCAAAAGGGAACRGAGGGAATTCAAAGTCGTGCTGCTGAGCTAGTTATGCAAACAGGATCAGAGCCCCAGTCATAGCCAGGGGAGCAAAACCAGCAAGGCAGCARAAGTCAAGGAGGGGTGATTACAACGAAGAAAGTGCTGGTTTCTATTTCCAGAGCTGATTTGTCAATTTTCAACATCTCACGGAAAGGGAAGGAGCCTGCAGCTGATCGCAGGGGAGAGGAAGTATTAACAAAACCCAGCACTGCTGTATCGGCAACCCCAAGAGCGCTCCCTCCCACGGCAATCACAGCAACAGGTCAGGAGCCTGTTGGCGTCCCTGTCCCCGGGGCTGCACCCTCCGGAGACGCTCCTCTCCTCCTGCACCCAGAGCCCGGAGCAGAGGGGTCAGAGGGGGCCAGGACCCCCACGGGAGCTGCCAGAGGACACCCCATCTCCCAGGTGGGCTCTGCTGGAAGGGTGGCTATAGGGAACAGGTTCCTTACACAGGARGGCCCCCGTAGTGCCTCAGCCTCCCCCTTCTCACCAGGCAGCACATGGCTCTCCCACACCGCCTCTCCCCATATCTTTGGGGCATCCATCACCCTTCAGGGTGGTTGTAGTCCCCCGCCAAACACAAATCTGAACGTTCACTTCCCCCTGCTCCCCAAAGGACTCACCCCTCAGGTGCATCCCCCCAAACTTCATACTTATCTGATGGGTTCCCATGATGGGTTTTTTTCCCTRTAAGACCCCAACCTTCAGCCTGCCCCCTGGAGCAGCCCCTGCATTCCCCTCACCCATGCCAAGGAAACCTCTGGAACCCCCGAAAAAACTGTACTCCCAAATATCCCATTTTGTCCACCCCCGGGATGCGCTCATGCTTTATCCCCCGTCCTGCACCTCATTCCTTCCCTCTTTGTGCTTCCCTAGACTTACTCTCGCCCCTCTCCCGCAGGGATCCCCCTTGTCCACCCTCCCGTGGGGTCCCTCTGCCCCGGGAGGATCCCCCTGCGTTCACCCTTTAGGATTCCTTTGTCCCCTGGACGCTCCGGCTCCCCGGCGCTGCCCCGGCACATGTTGCCGAGTGCGCGGTGCCCAGCGCCCACCTGTCCCCAGTGCCCGGAATGCGGGGCACGACGCACTGTCCCCAGCGCCCGGTACCCGGGGAGCGGCGCACGATGCACCGTTCCCAGTGCCCGAAGCCCGGAGGGGGGGTCCCCAGCCCCTGGTCACCGGCGCCCGGGGCGCAGTGCCCGGTCCCCGGCGCGCCGCGCTGGGCGTTCGGTGCCCCGTCCCCGGTGCGCGGCTCCAGGCTCGCCGTGCCGGACCGGCGGAGGCCGGGGCCGGGCGCTGCTCACCTGCGGGGCGCTCGGCGCTGGCGCCGTACTCGGCCGTGTCGCGGCGGCGGGCGCAGGTGCCCTGTCCCTGCACCAGGGCTTGCAGGGGCAGCTCGGCGCCGGGATCGGGGTAGCAGCGCAARCCGGCGGCGCAGCGCGGCGTGTAGACACCGCACGCCTCGGCCTCCAGGCGGGCGCACACCGGGCAGCAGCCGCAGCCCGGCTCCCGCACCAGCTCGGGGCAGGGCGGGCGGGCGGCCGGGGGGCAGGCGGCCAGGCGCTCC